CTAATCACGTCATAGGGAACTACATGTACACCACGTCTGACTTCACAATTTTGAGATCATCAAGGTATAAGTTGAATGTTTTTTCGAAGCTTACTTAAGTCTTTAGGTGTTTGGTTACTTGAATCACCGATAATCATATGATCTGAAATGCATCTACTTTGTAATGAAACTTTTAGTTCCTATCTGAATAAGAAATTATTTTCAAATGTATTCTTGATGATTTTCATTTTCACGCTTTGCTTAGTGTTGCGCAAGGTAAAAAGCTTCTCAGTGTTCTTAACTCTTTAATGATTCCTTAGGTGGAACTGGCTTATGGTGGACATCATCTTAAAATCAGTCAGTCCTGATAAATAACCAGCTGAAATGTGTTGAGTTTTTACTTAACCATCATGATTATTTGAAGTTCTCCCCACTTTCTTTCTCTTCTAAAATTGGTGGTCCTTTACTATTGTTTAGTATTTTTGCAGGATAAACTACTGTTATTGAGTTGATAACCACTAAAATAACAAGTATCTTTGATAGCATCCTAATATTTTATTTATATTATATGGCAACTGAGTAGCTCTGTAATAATCTTCAAAGATTGGCACATCTTTTTTCCATATCGCTTAAGGTCATTCGGTAATTCTACTAAACTTGCTTTCTGAAGAGTTAATAATGATACTTACATGGAGCAGCAAAAAGTCATTGAAACTTTGCTTTTGAAATTGTGTCGTGTTTCCTGTTACTTTACTTTCTGGAAAGATAATTTCTCACCTTGAAACTTATTGCCTGCATTTTTATCTACATTGCCAAACTGCTATACACTTTTTTATACAACCGGAAAATATTTTTAGAATTTTGAAATCTTTTGTAATAGTTCAAGTTTTGGAAGGAATTTAGATCGTTTTCCACTCGATGAAATTATATGATAAACAAAATAGTTGAGATTTGACTTTCTTCTAGTTTTTTCCATACTTTTTATATTTGATTAATTGACTTAAATCACTTCGAAGAAGGCGAAAACATTAACTGTGTCCAGTATTCATTTCTGAATAAAAACTCGCACCTGAAGTGCACATCAGTGTACATACCAGTGTGATAATTCATTCTGTTAGAAGTTTGGTGAACACTTAGTTTGTACTGAGTTTTATCAGTCATAGGTGATAGTGATAGATTGATTATGTTATTCGTTCTTTAAATTACGAGTACTGTAAACATTTACTCTCATTATGAAAGCTTCCGCTGATGGGGAAAAGTAGGTGTTCTAACGAGAGTTTCTGATCAGTCAAAGTGCTTTTCCCTTACTTATTTTTGTCAGCATTTTATATTTATGCCATAAACACTTTTTCTTATTGTCCGCAAGGTCAATGAAATTCCTTTCACTTGAGTAAATACCTGTGAAGTAGCTTCATTTGTTGCTAAAATGATGGGTTTAAGAAGGAATACTAACAAATGTTAATTACATGAGAGGATTTAGTAGTCAAGGCTACAAATCGATCTTGTAATACACTTGCTAACTTATTGTGTAACTGGAGAAATGGCTCTGAAACATGTAATCTTAAATAACAGTTATCTACCGTAAAGTGAGTAACTTGACCTTTAAAAAGTTAACAGAATTAGAAAAAATTTTCTGTCTCCACTAGTACGATTTTTGCTCATGAGAATAAGGTTTCTGTCTAAATATTGAAGATGTGTTGGGTACTTTTTTCATTGTCCAAGATTCAAGTTCAGGAATTTATGCGGTATAGAATACAATGAAGCTGTGAGGAAGTTATAATTTTTGAATAAATTGGCATATTCAAAGTGTTTTTTGCAAATAAAACTACATGCTTTAGTATTTGAAAATAATTTGTTCTAAATAATATGATTTATTCTATCCTATACTTTATTTTATGATGAGAAATAGCTAGTTTCTCAATAGCCTTGAGCAATTTATAACATCTGTTGGCCTAAAGAAAATAAACAGCTTAAGTTTGTTTATTTCACAGATTACTAGCAAGTAAAAGATCATTCTTAAAAAAATTTTGTAGGAATTCCATAGGAACACTTGGGTATAATTTCCTATTTTCAAATTTAAGAAACATTTAGATACAGAGAAAAGTTTCATATACATAAGAGATACTTACTGAGTGATTTCTTTACAGTTCATATCAAAGAAATGACTAAGTCACTTGATAATCAACACATGATTAACGCGAAAAGATTTTGCTGATAAAAACGCTTCATTTCTGACACATTTTATACATCTTGCAACTGTAAATGGTCTCAAAATAGCTGGAAATATTTCAGTATGGATGAATGAGTGATTTTAAGTGCATATTGAGACATTTATTGAGCAATAGAGCTACTGATTGTCGGCCTTAATCAACTTGTTACTTCTACCACTGCACGATCCATAAATTAAGTGGAAATAAGCGCTGAATGTCATCAAGAATCGGATAAGTAAACAAAGTTAAGAAGGGTATTTATCCTGATCATCTTAACTGAAAAAAACGAAATACAAACTACCAACCCATTTTAGAGTGGAATGCCTATATGTGGAGAGTAAAAAAATTCCAAAATCTTTTCTTCATACGAAAAAGTTTATTGCCCATAGACATAGACAAAATTACACAGCTTTATATGGAAGGTCAGTTCCACAGTTTTTTAAAATATAATATTGAGTTATCGGATAGGAATCACAATTTTATGAATTTATCCTGATTACTGAAAGTCAAGTAGAATTTGCTTTTCTGATGCTGTAAAGCATACAGGTGTTATGCTCATACACAAAGTAAGATATTAAAAAGTGTTCTTAAGTTCATCAGATTCTAGATATTAGTTTTCCATCAATGCTAATAAAACTGTTCCTTTTTATTAATTTCTTCATTTAGATTTTACCGAATAACTATTACTGTCGTCTGTTTATTAACTGAACAAATGTTTTCAATGTATGCTAGATCCTTGGTTTATCACGAAACTAAACTGGAATTGTAGGTATCAAAACAAACTTAAAATTTTAACATATGTTATAACAAAATGGTTTAACGAAACCAATGATTTCATAAAAAGGTTTAAGTAGTTAATTTTCCAACAGTTCTGATGGGAAGACACTGGATTTTCAGTACATAAAGTCAAACTGATTCTTTCCTAGCTTAAGTAGTTTTAGCACCATGAATACAATATTAGACAAATGTCGACTCCTTTGGAATTAAGTTAGATTGTTTTAATATACTGAGTTGATTTAAAAATCATTTCCTTTCATTCATGTTATAGGATAAGCTACTTAAAACTGCATGATAAGCCTTTGTTGTGTTATGCATATGGTTTTCAAGTTTGCAATAATTAACCATGACTAAACAACATTAAGTTGGTTTCTCTTCACTGACCACTGGACGTTTATAACACAGCCCTAGATAAGGCCAACCTTTACCCAAAAAGAACAGTAATATCGTTTTCGATTATGGCCCTGAAAACGAGTGTTCGAACCTTCCACGTGATACCTGCTTCTAAAGTTTGCATGTAAGACTTACAGACGACTGCCAGCAAGCAAAAAACATAGATTCAGAGCTTCCTACTAACCATCTAAAATCAGTGAAAGTGCACCATGGATCTGAGTCTTCTAACTTAATGACAGAATTGGCATATTGATCGACAGAAATCAGTCAGCTCTAAGGACTTTACAATACGACATCGCTTCATTTCTACTGACCAATCAGTGTTGGTATTGAATTATCTCTTATAACTTACTGGACCTCAAACACCTTTTTATTATTTTAACATTCTACACGTTCCAGACAGTCGGTTTGTTTGTTTAGTATTTGTTTTGTATTCACACGTTTAAAGGAACCATGCGCTTGAAATTAGACCATTCCTTATTACACAGTACTAAAATAACACTCGTTTGTCATACTTTTGTTGCTTAGCAGGCATCAACAAGTATTCAGAACTTTTAAGACTTTATCAGTTTCAAAGAGTTTTATAGGTTAGTATTTCCATTGTAAAACTTCGAGGCACTGAGTAGTCACTACTGTACTCATTTTTCGGAAAAATAGGTGTAATCTTGATAAGTTCACTGAATTTATTGAATACCCGGTGAATATATACTCCATCAACATTAGATAACAGCTGTTGTGTGTGACGAAAGGCTTCTTGAAAATCAATAACGAAATTATCCAAAATAGTATTTATATGCTCGGTCACTGAATATAAATTATTTTAAGAACATTTCACTGGTTAGACGAAATGTAGTTTTTTTAATAAAGTTAAATTAAATGTAGCCAACAATTGCCAAAACGGTGATTTCTTGGTATATATGTCAAAATGCAATAAAGCTTAGACAACACCTAGGGTTTTAAAAAGTCATGGAGCCCTTTAAACTAACATCAATCAAAAGTCGTTATGCAAAAAACAAGACTACTAGGTATATTGTTCTGGTTATTTGACTAAAATACCTGATACGTTTCGTCACTCAAGTAAGCCTGATTTTTAAGGTAGGTAGGTAAGGACCCTGAAAGAACCAAACACTCAAACGTGCAATAATTTGGCAACACTTTGAATAATTGAGGTAGCTAGTTAGGAAACGAAATGCTTATCTAAACGTTTGTTAATGTCTGAATAAAAATACGATTCTTCTTTCGGTATCCACTTTCTGTGGTAATATCTCCAGTGACAGCTGCTGTAAGTGAATTAATATTGGAATCAGGACAAGCGCTTGGGAAATTCTTAGTCCACGATGAAAATAATACAGGCAGAATTAACATGGTTGTGAGGTTTAACTGAGGTATTCTTTGGAATTTAAAATTTCCAAATCATAAGCTACTATCTTTGAGGTACTGAAAATGTTGTTTAGAATGAAATTCAGCTTCACTGTAGGGTGTACTGTTTCTTATATCAGCTTTACACTATATTGGAAGAGTTAAGATGAAATCCACTTTTCATTCTCTTGAAGTATTTGCATCAAAATAAAGTTTATTTTACTTAATAAGCATGGACGTTACAAGATGGTTATAAACAATATAATTATAAAATATACCTACCTGAAATAGAAATATAATTCTTGCAAAACTAAATATATGCGCAATAGAAAATAAGGCTTCACTAAGTAAAGTTGGATCAGTTGTTGGCCACTGATTACGTGGTAACGATTCCGTACCATAGTGATTAGTTTTACGTAAAAGTACTGCTACCACGCGAAGTGCAACTGTTGTTAAATAAAGTCCAAGCATTAGAAAATCCAACCAGTTCCACCACTGACGAACATAGGCTTTAAGACCTTCTTCCCAAATTTGTTTCATTTCACTCCACACAAATCCTAAAATAAAAACAAGGGAAGATAGTATCTTGAAGGCAGACTTTTGGAAAATAACTACATAAATTAAGGAAACCGTTTACGCTATAATATTGACAAAAAATAAAATTTGGAATCATGTGAATGTAACACACTTCCTGGATTCCAATGCTAGCCACTGCGCATCGTTAATTTCTTGTGGAAACAGTTTAGCAGTTGCATTTATAACGGGAGTCTTTAAAAGTTAGGTATACATTAGGTCAACATGTTAGTAGTTTACTCCTTCATCAGACTTTCATGAACTAATTTGTTAGATCGTTCATCTTTTTCATAGTATTTTCGGTAAGATATAAAACTCAAGCATAATTATTTCATCTATGCCTAACAAACAATTCACCAAGTAGAATGTACTTTTCAATGGTTCTCAGGATAATTTGATATCATTTGAAAAGAGCTCATACTGGAAATTCATTCAACTTGTCCTGATGAATCTTTAGTAAAGGAAAATTATACAGTGCTTCCATTTCGTAAACTTGCTCTTCTTGCTTTATTCTAAATGATTATATCTCCACTTTTTAACTAAAATGTTTAGGGAATAAAAGTAATTCAGTATGACATATTGAAGTCGTCAGTTTTCGAAATAATAGCTCTTTTTTCAACAGCGTAATCTAAACGTAAGTAAATTGAGAACAACATGTGCAGGTAACTAAACAATTCAGTGGAACTGGTTTACTCTTTAAGATTTTAATCGATGTGGTCCCACTTTGCTGAAGTATTTTAGTATGTGGGAATAGAATTTAGGCTGTTGTAGAAAGCGATTCCATATTAAATTAGTCTATTTGATATAGCCCTCTGATGTACTATTATTAACTGGATGGCATTTAAGCACAATTTGCTGCACATACTTATACCAAGGTAATCACAGAACTTTCTGTCTCATTTATTTACCATTCTGTTGCCTTTTATTCTTTTATTTGAGAAATAATAGGGTTTTCTATATGTCTAGAATCTGTGTTGAATCATTCTTCATACACACGTCAACTGTTGAGTCGATGAGCAGAGATTCTGGGGTCTTCCTTAGTGGTATTTAATTCACAATCGCTATATTGTCGCCTTGTTATAAAGAAACATCAGAAGACTCATGTAAGATAAGGCTGTCAATAAAGTGACATTCGTACCTACCAATTAACCTGAGGGACAAATTTCTTCAGTTTAAGGATTCTAAATGTAACAATTAGGTCAAGTCCAGAGGGTAATCTAGTCGATTGGGGTCGATGGAGTTAACTTACGTTTCATTAAAATAATTATTGAGTTCAAGTACTATTGCACAGTGCTATTCCGTATTACATTATTCTGTCTGACATATCATACACTGATGTGGTTTCATATACTGGACGAAGTTAATATGATACAACATCATATCATATAGATATAAGACATAAAATCTGCTAGTAACGTCAACTAGAAATCATACTTTATCATTGTGTGCTATATCAAATAGAGAACAGTATTATAGAATTTTCCGCCATATTGTTTCACAAAGTAAAAGCTATTCTTGCTGTTAAATTTAAAGATAAGAGAAACCGTATTCGTCCCGAAACTATCACTCAATGAAATGCATAATGAATCTTTTTTTTGCCGTAGCCTTCTATTCTTACCCTAAATAAGAAGTAAACCAATTTTGCGTGATATTTGTTTCACCTTGAAGTACGCTAAGCTTTCAGAAATGAAAACAATGAAAATAAAAAGCGGTTAATTTCGTCGTAGGATTTGATATCTAGTAAGAATAACTAGATAGGTTACAGTACAGCTTGATATCTAATTTTCATTTAAATTAAATTCATTCATTTTTGATGCACGGCTAGCATTTACTACCACTCTTTTATGTTATATTTCCCACTTTATAATCGTCTATCCAACGGCTTGAGTATAAGAGTATAACGTGAACTACGAATAAACTTTTTCTCTAAACTCATATAATTGATACCATAAAGCACTACTTCGAGATGTCCATTACAGTGTAAACCTCACAATTCAGGTTATTTGCTCTTGACATTCTGAATTCCTTACAGATTTTTCAAGAGATATGTGTTAGTGTTGTTGAAGAAGTGAACGATAATGAATCATGCACTCTCCTAAAGATAAAGAAGTTAGACGCTTCTGAAACAGCAATTTGATGCTGATAAACTACTACAAAGTTCGATTCATTTACTATAAGGGTTTACTAAATAGTAATTTTTGGCTATTAACAGTAAATCAGCAAAAATGCAGGGTGAACCGTTGGCCTGTTCCATAGACATGCAGTGTGTTAGGTGTAACCAGATTAGTAACCTGGTACCTATTTCTCGTCACCAAGGGAAACATATCTATTCTATAATATGATACATTATTTCAGACAGTAACCCACTCTGTGTTGTGTTTTACATCAGGTAGTTCCATATTTTTGTCCTTTCTTCAACTGGGATTCCTCTCATTATCATGATCGTAGAAAATTGTTTTCCAACCAACAGATAATTCCAGTGTGGTGTCATCATTAGGTATCAAGACCTAAAACTGACACCTTTATTATTTGTGACGAGAATACGAATCTCAAAAGCCTGCTTTAAAACTTCAATAATGCTAAGCTCTTTATCAGTTTCACTCTAGGAAAAGAACCAAAATCGAAATTTCACTTATTTGACGTCCAACTTCAAAGAAGAGATGAAAGTTCATTCTAGAGATCTATTAACAGAAACCCCACTTGAAGTGGGCAGCTTATCAGTTTTCAAAGCCATGTGCCATTAAACAGAAGGAGCAATCTCACCAATTTACCCGCCTTCGGAGTGTGACGAATATGCACGGAGGATACCATCAGAGGTGAACCAGAATACTTGTTACAAGGCGCAAAGAAAAATGGAAACCCACTGAAATTTATAGATAAGAATCTGCAACTAATAAAAACTCCACAGAAAGCGCGCATACTGCTCCGAAAGTGGGTTTTACTGTTGAACCTCGAATTTAAGGTAGATTATGTGACAGATATACTTAGAAAGAGACTATCGCAAAAATCTTAGAATCACATTTCGCTCTTAGAAACTCATTCGTCAGTATGCAAAGACTAAGCTGAGGCATTGCACCACATCATTGTATGCATTTCAATTTACTTGCTCCCATAGAGCCAAGTACATCAACCGTACCACTCTTCAGCTGATTCAACGCACTTGCGAACACAATCCAACTTTACTGAAAAAAGGAGAAAGGAAATGCATCCTCAGCTCTGTAACATAATATTTACTAGGCTCAAGACATTTGGCTCTCTTTGATAGGTCCTTTAAAGTGCGACCAACCCACTCAAAAGGAGTGTGGGTAAGACACTTGGACATAACTGGAGCACTAGTAACTCAAAAGATCAAACCATCACTATGCTTTGGAAAGAAGTATGCACAACCTTTTCCTTTTACATGGCCAACGTAGATTATTGAAAACCCTAAATAACCGACATATGACGTAAATATTTTAGAATTTATTTAGTAACCATTTTGTTTAGTTCCTCACTACATAACCTTCCTTTGAGATGCAGTTTATGTTGGTTTTTGATCAGAAATTACTCTGGAATATTCTCCCATTTTTACTAGACATTCACGAATGCGCAGTTATGAGAATGATTTTATCGGAATCAAAAATGCTTCTTCTCTGTAGTCATATTCTAAGTTTACTTACCTAAAGAGTTATCTTTCCATAAAATGTAACTTCTGCATGCAGAGTGATTTATTTCAACTAACCTATTATATAGCACAAATAAATCTTCAGTAAACGACTATTTTTATTGGAAGTCCATCGAACATGCTCATTGTAACATATTAAACAGTAGACCACGAGTCTGGCTATAATTCTGATGTGAGAAATAAACCACTATAATTTGCAAGTATTTTCTAAACATTATTTCTGGCTAAATGATGCTAATCGGTCATATAACCAGTGATGGAGGTTGACTACGAACATGAATGAGGATAAAGCCACTTGCTTCGGATACTGCGAGAATAATGACCTCTGGAACTAAGTCTGTTCAGTTTTTTTAGTCTAGCACTGATTACACGTTGACAGAGCCAAACTTTAAAGGTAAATGCAAATTAGCACTACCAGTAACCAATGAGTTTGTTGTGGGATTGTTCGCTCTAAATACGTCAACAACTTTAAAGAGGTTACCAGATTTTTAATTAGTCTAACTCAACTGTGTTACTGTTTTAATTTTTACCTAATATCAGTTTTAATTTAGAATAATAGTCGTTGAAAAGCATTTGTTCAAAACCAACGAATTGGTACACGAAGACGATTTTATTCGTAGACTTTTAATCATCGAATATTATTCAACTTATTTACGTGATGATCTCCTTACCTAATTGAGATATTGTTGTTTGAAAAGTGAACAGTTTCCTCCTAAGTCAAAGTAGTTGTAGTTGGTTTCCTTTAGAAATGTGACATGTTTTCAACTGATTTCACTTGGAGAATAAAGCTTGTTCATAATCAAGTTTTTTTCAAACTAAAGGTAATAAAGAGGAATTTTTTAGTCAGTTTTTTTAGTTAAACTGCTGGCTGATTGTAAAGTGAACAAGAGAAACATTTACATCAAAAAAGGAGTATTCTCCTTTGTCATTTTGAATAAGACTAATATGATGGTGATTTTATTTCCTCTGTTAGATGAAACTTATAAAATCTGATAGAAATTACTGACTTATGCCCATAGAATTCAAAACTTAGTTTCCATTGTTAAACGAATACAATGGTATACTATGCATCAAACTTTTGTTAGTAGTGACAAGTAATGACATTTATCTAAGCTCCACTGAGGCGGCCACAAAATCAGAATAATTATGTTCCATGGTGACTGTATGTGGTCATGAAAATAGCTTAATTTAATCCTTGCACTGGTTCATTATAACTACCCTAGTGGGTTACACTGAAAATGTGAATAACTTTCAAATAGACTCAAACGTTTTTCACATGGTTTCACCGTAAGCTGAAGTGACATCTCTATGAACGTGCTAGTTACTTAGCTTCACAAAACCAAATATGAGATTCTAGAAAAAAGTATATTTGAAAGAGATTTAAGTCATCTCTCTGAAGTTCAAGTGGTAAGATTTCCTAGACTGTAAACAGACAAAAATAAGATATAGTTCATTTGGGAGAGCACCAAGTTTGCAAATCAAACCTGCCGTTTTAAGTGCTGCTTTGATCCAGGTCTTTATTTAACTCTCAGTTCTCGCCCATTATCAGTGGCATCAACCCTCCAAGCGACAAATATCTCAGAAAGTCTCACTAAGGAGCAACTCATGTAGGATTACCAGCATCTAATACAATGTTCACCGTGGTAGTCCAAGCGTACGGGTTTGAGAAATAGTAGATTTAACCTGGTAATGAACCACATGAACATAATTATCGTCGATCGTAATCCGTTTCACCATAAGCGCACCCAGACGAACAAACAGTATCACTATAGAATCTGGCAGCAACATTATTCAGACCTTATATTACAATATCAAGTGACAGTGAACTATTTTGAAAGATAAATAAACAGGAAAGCAGTTCAAAGAGATAGGAGTCATCAAAAGAGAGCAAACTGGGATGGGCAAATACTAACAGGCAGAAAGTCACTTGAGAAGAGGACAATGTGTAAATGCATCTTCGCTACTGAGATCATTTCTGGGCGATATCACCTAAAGTCTGTAACCATGGTGAGCAGGCATGAGTAACAGACATCTGAGACAAGAATGGTTCACAGCCCCATCAACTGACGTCCCTCTCCTCTTCAAAAATCTGCCCCTGACTTCCAACTTACTGAAACGGTGATACCATAGCATTCAGTTCATCCTAGAAAGACAATGGTGGTCAAAAATCTTGGCTCTAAATGCTCAGGTTCTGCACAATGAACTGCAATGCAGTACATTCGACCCGTAATATGCAATCAGATACTATGGGGGTGACATGAATGTTGTAAGATGGCAAAAATTAATCGAGATTTTGTATCCTGCCAGTGATTTCTTCGGTCACTAATCCACAAGATTTGATCCGATCTCCCAGATAAGTAAAATGGTTAGCATGTTCAATCCCTCCACCCAGTTTGGTTAGTTAAAGCACCAGTAAAAACCAGTGCTAGAGTAATTGTCTAGGTGGTGAGAAACCTATCTCAAACATTCTCAGTTTGCCTCTCAATGTGTTCAGAAGACTGTATGTCTTGTCAGCGTCCTTAACCAATAGGATTGTGCTGTGTGTATACTATAGATCAACCAAAGATTCTCCTGAGATGTGGTCAGTAGCTGAAAAGTCATACGGTGGTTTGGTGACGTTCATAAGTATGCCAAAGATAAAATTGAAATACAATGAAGGGAATAAACATCCTTAACAGACACTGCTTAAAAAATAAAACTCATTACCAGCTCTAAGATGTTCATGGGTATTCAAATACAGAGTCTTCAACAGAGTACTTACTAAGTTCCTTTTCTAGTGAGGGGCACTACCACAAGACCTCTCGATAGACGAAACCTAATACCGCCTTCAGGTCGAGAAATACAGCCTGTGTTGTGCTTCGGCAGGCCTATCTGTGTTTGAGAACCTGTCTAACGGTGAGCATCTGGTCGATACACCAATGATCAAGTCTAAAATCTGTCTGACGTTTTTAGGCTTGTTGTTCCCAAGCTGAATTTAGATGTCTGATACTCACAGAATCTAGAATCTAAGACATTAAGTTTGCCAAACTAAGTATTCTATGATTATCACAAAAGAACTTCTCGCTTTTCTTGAAAACTGAAATAATCGGTGATTGGTACCAGTCAGCATGGATCATACCTGACTCCCATGAACTTGTTAACATTCCAGTTGATCTGACCAATAATCCTAGACTACCATCGTTAAATACCTCCGGTGCCAGTCCATCTAGCTGTAATGTCGTTTCTACTTCCAAGCTGCCTACTGTCTTCTCGAATTCTGCAAGAGTTGGAGGCTCTGTCTCAATTTTTCACTCAGGATCCGACCTAGCGGCGGGTAATAGGGTGGTACCTAGAGGCCAGTTAAATTATTCTTTGAAGTGGTATGCCCAAGTTTCCAGTCATCTGTCCAGCGGATGTATCTCAGACCCATCCTTCTATACAATGGTCGCGTTATCCATGGACTTATGAGTTCACATTTCCTTGATTAATCTAAACAGAAGTCTATTGTCACCAATCGCTACTTCCTTTCTCATCTCTCTAACTTTCCCTGCATCCACTGCTCTTAATCATTGATTAAACTCCATGTAAATTAACATTTGAGTTGATTCCGCTCTTTATCGAGACCAGAGACTGTTGTTATGCATTTATTGTATCAAATAATAAAGAGAAAGCTGACGAAATCTACTACCTCTCCTTGACCACTTTTTGAATGTCAGTGACAGTTTGATCGCTATTTTTACCGAAGACTGGAGTGCCAGGTTTCTTTCTAATGAGTCATGTCTCTCTGTGCCGACAGGTGTTACACCAGTTTCTTATCGAAAAATAACTTCACTATCCCCATCCTTGAGCAGCATACGCTAAAGACTTCCTGTTGTAGTTTCCTCACGACCATTTAGGTGCAGAAAAACGTATGCTTGTTGTCCAAATATGTTTCTCAGAAGGCGCGAAAACGTTTCATCGACTCAGTCTACCAATAACTGGCAGCAATATGATCAGTCTCTGTCCACCATTGAGTTAAAGTCGGAGGATGCCACATGAGACAGTATCTGAAGTTCTTGCTGGCCATAAACGGATGGTCACCTGAGAGCAGCTGTGCAATGCAAATAGTTTTTCTTTCGGCTAGAATTCTGAAAGTATCACTTAAATGACTTTCGCCATGATGTAGCCTGGCCACTTTAACATTGATATCGCCTACTACACAACCACGTCTGAAATTTTGGTTTTCAGTGAGAGATTAATAGGTTACAACGAAACTCACCCTTCATTTCAACTGAATTGCAGTCGATAGCTGCATAAGAAGAGATCTCAAACCGACAACCGCGAGTTCCACTACATTTTTTTACCTATTGTACCGTTCATTCAAACAACGCATAAACAACTGTCAGCTCGGATCTCATACAGCAGTACCTTTTCTGTTTCAAAACACAACGTTACACCTACACTCACAAGACTGCCGGAACTAACCGTTGATTCTCCAGAATATCAAAGTGTGGATTTCGTAGATTCACTACATTGGTCAGGTGAGGCTAAGTGAATTATTTTCAAATACGAAAGGAGAATATTTTTTTCAATAACATCTCGTCAGGTTCTATAGATATGAGGTCAAACACTAAAACAAAATTTGCCAAGTCTGCGGCGAGTGCACTTTCAGATGAATACTAAGTTATTAGTACAATTCGATTTTTAGGTTTGTGGAAGATACTGTGACTTCATATATACATATATATATATATATATATATATATAAGTCCTTTATGTGTGTATGCTTATGTGTCAGAAAAACAGTACACATCTATGACACGGGATATTAGAGTTTTCGCTAGTGAATCTGTTTGGGTGATGTAACAGACGGTGTGGACATTTAAGCCTCCAATATGTAGTTTGGAATGCAGTTAAATTAGAGCAGGAATACTATTCCGTGGACTCCAAGAGCTGAAGAAAGTTGAAAATCAATAAGAAATTTTGGCCAAGAGATATGAAGGGAAATTGGAAGGTGAAGATGTGAAAGGTTTATAATGATCTGGAAGATCTTTAGTGCTAACTGGGTTTTCATTATGTTTTATACTTCCCGGTCGGAAGACTATTCATTTTTGAGGTAATTGAAAAAAGAGTTAGTGTGTGGTCGCAGAACCAGAAGAACACAAACTTGAGGATGGTCAAATTAGGTATATCGCCAGTAGCCGTATTGTTATGGAGTAGAGGGAACTGTGCCATTTTAGGGTAACATTTTTAATTCCAGCATGGTACTGTTGATCATCTCGGGGAAACACCCTACCGCTGTCTTACCGTCCTCCAGCCAGCAGTAAGACTTTGCTCTAGAACAACTGTCATTGCACACCAGTTTAAAATAAAGCAGCACCTGCTCTTCACTTTACCACTACTGAACTGATCTTCTGGTATAGTAGGAACTCGAGTGAATTAGTATTCTACCAGCATAGCTCGTCTGGTCATTATGAGAAGTAAGCTCAACTGAAAAGTCAAAGTTTCTTCCTATTAATTGGGTCATTAACACACAGATAATAGGATATATTTATGCTTTTAACTTACCTATGACCCACCATAATATCAACATTTCAATGACATTCGGATCTGGTCCACGTATTTGGCTGCGAATTTGTAAATCTGTTTGTGTTAGAGTATCAGTTGATGCAATCAAAAGGAGAAATATAAAAATGGCAAATGATGCACTATGATTAATGAATTTGATCAATGGACTTCTCATTAATTGGCCAATACATCCATGTGGATGAATTAAATACGTTGGAGCTAATATTGGCAGTGCAATGATGAAACAAAAGCATAAAAATAGCTTTGTGAATGGATGACGTTTACGCCAACCGGGTAACTGGTCATACCATAGGGTGGTTAAGAGATGTTGACAATGTGGATGAGCAACAAACTAGTTAAAAAAAAGAACGAAAAGAAAAAAGAAACGATTATTTGTGAGTAATCATGTTCAGACTTAATGTAAATCACATAGGTATGCATCAAATAAAATGAAAAGATAATTATTTATTGAGTGGATGATGATTTTGACTGAAACGCAACTGTAGGCTCTTATCGCCTCATAATGTAATTCATTTAATGAGTGAATAAGCTCACAAATCATTTGGTTGAAATAACTGACTAAATTATTAAACTGGAGCCATATTTTTTTGACCACTGCTGCTAATATAACGTTCAATGAACAATTCTAAAATGGTCAACCTTGTCCTTTGTAGTTTCCTCTTTTTTCTGATCACTTCAGATACCCTGTTAACTTAGCGAGTACCTGAAGTATTTAGGTTACCGCTATTGAAAACATTAACCGTTTGACAAAAAAGGTTTAAGTAGGTCCATTTTTGAGAATAAAATCCAGAAACACTTTGATATTTATAGTTTATTCTAAGCAAATCTTAATATAATCAGGATGAAAATTTAGTTCTAAAATGTCTGAAGTCTAAGACAGTGTCGTCAGTCTTACCTCCTGAATACTAAGTACCTTACCAATAAACTAGAAAATCTTTCGGTTAGCTTCTTCAATGTACAAAGGTGTTTTAAACAAACTTAACCACAAGTTAGAGATATTTTGTTGGAACAACAATCAGCTTTTATCTAAACCATCAGAAATTGTAAACTACAAGAATAATGCAATTACATAGTCTAAACTAGGTCAATAGATAAGAACCTTAATAATTAGTCCATGTTCTATATAGTGTGTATCGGCTTCACTAATCAATTTTCCAGTTTCCCCTTCAAAGTTATATACTGACAAAGTATATATGAAATAGTTTCAACATATAAAAACCTAAAATTAGTTACAAAGTGTGTATAACTATGAGAAGCTATTTCATTCATTTAATTACATATTGAGGTCATGGAAAATTAATGAACAACGTGAATAAGTCTATCGTTTGAAACCTATTTTTATAGTTAATTCTGATTTATAATTCTGTGTGAACAAGAAAAGTCATCGAATTGACTGAAGCAAGGTGACATACATTTATCAGATGTAAAGTTTGTACTAGTTACATTTTATTGCTAATCGGCAACAAAGATGATAAATATACTTGCAAAGAAATTATGCACACAGCTGAGGTCAAGTATTTCATATATCCATGTACAGTATTTGGTAATAAGCTACTTCCATATCGAAATGGAATGAAGCCTAAACAACTTCATCAATATGTTCTTGTGAAAAATCAAGTCTGATGAACATTTGCTAGATCACCTTCAAGTAAACAGAAGTTAATTTTTTATACATTGTTATTATTATTTCATCTATGGTTCTAATTTTTGATGACTGAAGGTGTTTAAGCAAATTTTATCATTGTAAGTTTTGCATTTGTCATCATCTGTCAGTTTGCTGTATGTAAACTAAAACAAATTTATGAGATGGTGCCAATCATAGATGTTATTGCTGAAACTTTTAGACTACTGATGGTACAGTTTCATCATTTTTATCTACACCATTTTATACCATGCTCTTTTCACAATCCTCTTTGAACAAAGCGATAGAGTTTACCAGCTTTATTGCTGTAAAATGTGTGAAATATCGTAAGCAATGCTGAAAATCCATTCTAATATAGTTCAAGAATAGGCTGAGATGATTTTAGTTAGATCAATGCATTTTACAAGGGATAACAAATTATATTCAAGTTGAAACAAGTGTAAACTTCGCTGTCAGTCATGCTTCAAATCTTTGTGTGAAGTAGTTGCTCTTATTATATTAGACAAAAGCAAGGAAGTTAAAGTGACACATTCTCCTAGGTAAAGAAAAAATGAAGGAAACAGATTTTTCTCACGTGATTCGTATTTCACATGATACTTCACAGAAGACTGTCAAAAGCGAAAGCAGTTATAAAAATGAACCACCGGAATAACTTTGATTTTTTTTAAATATGCCTCAACTCATTTCAGAAGTCTTAAAAGTTAACGTCAAATCCCATAGCGTATTATTAAGAAATATTCTCTAAACAATATTTCTGAATTTATAAAAAAATTCGACAAGCATTTACAGATTTTCGTACAGTTAAACAACTTAAGAAATTGAATAAACAGTCATAATTTAAGTCATAACTCTCTCAATGGTTACAAATACATTAAAAGCTTAACAAGTGATGCTTCCATTTTGAAAAATTATTCTAAATAAATATAATTGAGTAATTTGGGCAGTATGATTTAGTATCCTTCCACTTTTTTTTACTCCACTTGTCAGAGGACACGACCACGCAAAATTATGTACTTTATGACATCCGAACTCACTCTATAGCTTGTAGTCAGACCATATACACATATTAAATGCGTCAAATCTATTTGGTTATGAGTAGTAGATTTCACTCAAAAATGAAACGAGGCGTTTTTTTTTATTTATTTATTTGAAACTGGTAAGTTTGGTTAGATGTCAAATGTGAGCTAATAACGAATACAAATATACCAGATGTTTCTTGTGCAATGTATCAACATTCATAATTTAAACTCATTATTTTTACTCGCACAAATCAACTTGTCAAATCAGGCATTAAATTTTCAGAAAAAAATTTCCCAACGAAAAAAACCGATAGATAGACACATAATCTCATGCAGAGCAATATTGAAAATTAAGACAGAGGATTATTGTATAACAGGAGTTAAACCGATAAATAACAGGTGTTAGACAAACTAAAGTTTACATAGCTGAGCGTCAAGAAATGAAACAAACAGCAAAATGATTTTTAAAAGTCCACGGAACTTTTGTATTGATGTATCCATTCGCAATTATGATTCAATCATTCCTTTCGTAGTAGTTTTAGTTATTTCCTATTAGGAGATGAAAATCAGATATTTTATTTCTCCAAATGATTATTTGTAATTTTCACCGAAACAAGTCGTTTATTAGTAGGTTGTGGGATTTCACTGCATAAGATACCTTTAACTGAGACCGGAAAAGGAGCACATATTTTGATCATGACCATCCGACAAGAATACGTATTTCTACAGCTTGCTTTGTTTCAGATCTTTTCAAATGCCTACGGAAGCTGATTACCGATATATTCAAAAGTTAAACATGATTTTCTTATAGGTATATTTGTTCACAACAAGTATAAAATGCTTGCTTAAGTTACCGACTTCGTCGTACCATAGTCTACTCTCCTCCGGAACAAATAGAAAAACAGCAAATAAAGTGATATCAAAATTTTCAAATTCACGAAAATATCTAATTGAATGGAAAATAATTTAAGCCACAAATAAATAGAAGTTGATAAAGAACAAATAAATTTTAATTGGTCTTTACCCTTAGGATTCATCTAGTGAAGAAGATTTGAAGAAATAACTACAGCTATAATCATAGATAAGAAATTGAACTTTTTTAAGGGAAATCAAGGCTCATTAAAAAAATTTAAGCCTATACATATTGGTGGGAGTTCTGGATATCTCTAAAGCATATTTTACTTTTAGGTACCGGATACTGGTCTATAAGTAGTCTGTTGATCGACCCCGTTATCTATCGTTGGATGGCAGCAACAATATCCCCTTTCCATTGCATTATAAGGTACTATCTGACAGTTACACTCCCAAGCGACGAATATGCAACTCTAAACACTAAAATAATGCATACACAAAACTTATTAAATCCGTGAATGCTTTTTGTGACAGTCATCCTCGTTTCACTTATTAAGTTATGTGAATTACGACTTAGAGATCCGATGATGCATGCCAGAATGAAGTTTTATGTTGGTGGTAGAGCTTAACGAGTTTCAAAGATCCATTCATATATCGAATTAAATGAATAACCTTACAATGCAAAAAACTTGTGATGAATAACAATGTGTGGCATTCACATGGTCTGGCTAAATAATGAAGTGTTATTTTGACTAATGAAACAAAAGTATTTGAATTCTTTCCTCGAAGACAAACTTTGCAGCTGTTATGGTCAGACTTCATAGGAGAAGTGATGAGTTGTATATATCTATATGTGCTTATGTGGCGTCTAATTATTATTATTATTATTAGTCCCTTGGGTTCCTAGTGGAACATAGGGCTTCAGTAGCACGTCTCCAGTGACCTCTGTTCTCTGAGATCTTTTGAACCTGGCTCCACGATAGCCCACAAGCTCTCATTTCCTCCTCGCACGACCTCCTCCATGTCACCCTCACCTCGGACACCCAACTCGTCGCTTCCCATGGGGATTCCACTCGAGGGCCTGGTGCGTGATGTCCTCAGTCGGCCTTCTCAGTGCATGGCCAATCCATCTCCACTTCCTCCTGCATATTTGTTGCGTGATAGGTTCTTGGTTGGTTCGTTCCCAGAGTTCCTTGTTGCTTATTATTTCTGACCATCTGATCTTCAGTAGCGAGCGTAAGCAGTTGTTGATGAATGTCTGTAGTTTATTGGAAATGCCTTTCGTGACGCGCCAAGTCTCTGAACCATACAAGAGCACTGACTTGACGTTGGTGTTGAAAATCCGTATCTTGTTCCGCATGCTGAGTGCAGTGTAGAAGATTTCCACACTGGTTTCAGGCTAATGAACGCCTGTCTTGCTTTTCCGATACTGACTTTGACATCCTCGTCTGTCACGCCACCTGTAGTTGAAACAGTGCTTCCTAGATAGGTGAAGGAGGTTACTTCCTTTAAGTTTCTCCCGTTGACGGTGATTGGAGTTTGTTGTTGTTGTTGATGGTGGTGGTGCGGTATCTTCATCACTTCTGTCTTCTCTATATTCACCTGAAGTCCCGTCTTAGCTGCCTCTTCTATCAACTTGTTAGTTTTTGCCTTCAGATCTTCAAGTTTATGTGACATTAGGCACAAGTCATCGGCGAAATCCAGATCTTCTAGGTTATTTTCCGTCGTCCAGCGTATCCCCCTCTTCTCGCTGCCTACTGTTTGCTGCATGATCCAGTCCACTACAATCAAGAATATCATGGGGGATAGTAGGCAACC